GCTTCCTAGGGCTGCCATAAGGAAGTCACACAAACTGGGTGGCTTAAAACAATGACTTTTATTGTCTCATGGAGGCTAGTAGTTCAAAATCAAGCAGCATCTCGCTCCCTCTGAAATCCGTAGGAGAGACTCCACTGTCTGCCTCCATCTTCGTATAGCCAGCTTCTTTTGGGTGTCTCTCTTTTCTTCTAATAAGGACACCAATCATATTGGATTTCCGGTCCACCCTACTCAGTTTGACCTTATCCTTGTGTCTCTTTTAGAAGCAAAGAGCCCTTCCCAGAACCTCCTCCCACAGCAGACTTCTTCTCATTCATCATTAGCAAAAATTTCATCACTTATTCATGCCCAATGCCATGACTGGGACAAGGAACAAGACCACTCATCATGGTTGGCTTTGACTAGTGGTTCTTAAATTTGAGCATGTGTGTGGGCTCACTTACCTGTAGGGCTTGTTAAAACACAGATTGCTGGGCTCCACCCCCAGAGCTTCTAGTTCACTAAGTCCGATGTGAGGTCTGAGAATTTGAATTTTTGACAAGTTCCTAGTTGAGGCTAATGCTTCTGGTCCTGGAATCATACTTTGAGAACCAGTGGTTTAGACTAACCAGGATTTATCTCAGAGTACTGAGCTCAACAAGTGGAAAATGCATTGCCAATTAGAGGAGGGAGGAATCAACAAAATCAGGGTTCCATCAGAAAGGAGCAAGGGATGTAGGGGGTAGGCAGCTAGTAGTGTCTGCCAAAGAGTGGCCAAAGAAAAGCCAGGACGAGACTAGAAGGGGTGTGTCCAGACAGGCAAGAAGAAAGTCAGAAAGGAATAATGTCAAGGGGGGCCATGGAGAAGAATTTTAGGGAGTGATCAACACTATTAATGTCATAGATAGGGCCAGGAAGATAAACACTTAATGAGAAGATTCTGTTTCGTAAGGACCTCATTAAAACAACATCATATACAGAACTTGTTGTTGTTTTTTTGTGCAACAAACAAACTTTATAAAATCTTATCAGGAACAGACCAATGATATAGGAAAACTGTCCTTTTAGTTGATGAAAGAACTTAAGTTTTATATTAATATACCATTGATAATGGATATTAATTAATTTTAAGAATCCTAATAATAGCCCTGGCTGGTGTGGCTCAGTTGATTGGGCATTGTCCCATGCACCAAAAGGTTGCTGGTTTGATTCCCAGTCAGGGCACATGCCCAGGTTTCGGGCTCCGTCCCTGGTAGGGGGCATGCAGGAGGCAGCCAATCTATGTTCTGCTCTCACATTGATGTTTCTCTTTCTCTCTCCCCCTCCCTCCCTTTTTCTCTAAAAATCAATAAAAAAATTTTAAAAATCTAATAACGTAATGTTAGCCAGCTTAATTATAAAAAACTAGAGGCCTGATGCACAAAATTTGTGCATGGGGCTTGGCCCTCGAAGCCCCGGCTTCATTTGGAAGGTCGTCTGGACGGTTGTTTTGCTGTTTGGTCTAATTAGCATATTAGTTCTTTATTATATAGGATAATATTTTCTCTTCCCATTCTGAAATAACCAAGACAAAGTTATTTTATGTCCATTAATGAGAATATATCTCCATACCTTATACTATCTTTTATTAAAAATATGGGCTATGCATATATGAATATACGTTCCATATTAATTATAATTTTAAACCCTTAGAAATCTTAATTTTAGTGACAACTAAAAATAAGCAATTAGCATTCTTTAGACCAGTAAATTTATAAATACAGTTCATTCAAAATGATTATGTAGCCCTGTATTATTGACCTGGAACATGTTCATATTATAAGAAAAGGGTGGATTATAAGTAATATTATATTATGAACCCATGAAAAATATAGTTCAGCCTAGCTGGTGTGGCTCAGTGGTTGAGTGTCGACCTATGAACCAGCAGGTCACGGTTCAATTCCAGGTCAGGGCACATGCCTGGTTTGCAGGCTTGATCCCCAGTGTGGGGCATGCATGAGACAGCAGATCAATGATTCTCCTCATTGATGTCTATCGCTCTTTCCCTCTTCATTCCTCTCTGAAATTAACTATATATATATATATATATATATATATATATATATATTTCAGGAGGAAAATCTGTAAAGTTCCACAACAAAATGGTAAAATTAATATTATATGTATTTTACCATAATAAAAACAAATGTAACAGTAGCTACTTCTGGATGCTATGTTTTTTATTATTTTTTTTTTAAGTTTTCTGCAATGGATGTGTATTTACGTGTATGAAAACTAAGTAAATAAATGAAATAATGCTTTAAAAGAAGAGGAAAATAAAAAGTCAAGTCTGATGCTCTTTAAGGCAATTTGATTCAAACTTTCCCCTCTGTTCCCCTCCCACCCCCGCTCTGGAGTCACTTTTTAAAAAAATTTTGTTTTCTTTATTTTTTTTAATTTATCTTTATTTTTTAAAATATTACAGATTTCCCTTTTGTTTCCCCCCCCCACCCCATTGACCCCCTCCACCCTGCACATGCCCCTCCCAGGCTTTCACCACACTATTCTCTGGGTCATGGGCTATGCATATCTATACTAATAAAAGGGTAATATGCTAATTAGACTGGCCATCTTCCGGATGTCCTTCCGGACAAAGTCACAGTGGCAGGGGCCGAGGCAGAGGCAGTTAGGGGCGATCAGGCTGGCAGGGGAGGGCAGTTAGGAGGCAATCAGGCTGGCAGGGGAGCAGTTGGGGACAATCAGGTGGTAGGGGAACAATTAGGGGCGATTAGGCCAGCAGGCAGAGGTGGTTAGGGATGATCAGGCCAGCAGGGGAGCAGTTAGGAGCATCAGGCCAGCAGGCAGAGGCAGTTAGGGGTGATCAGGCAGGCTGGCAGGCCAGTGGTTAGGAGCCAGTGGTCCCGGATTGTGAGATGGATGTCCGACTGCCAGTTTCGGCCCAATCCCGATCGGGGATTGGCCCGAAACTGGCAGTCTGACATCTCCCAAGGGGTCCCCAATTGGAGATGGTGCAGGCCAGGCTGAGGGATACCCCCGCCCCCCATCATGCATGAATTTCATGCACCAGGCCTCTAGTATGAATGTAAGTTCCTGGGTTAATCACTCCCCACCCATCCTCCCACCCTCCCCACCTTCCCTCTGAAATTTGTTAATCTGTTTCAAGTTTCTATGTCTCTGGATCTATTTTGTTCATCAGTTTATTTTATTCATTAGATTCCACATATGATACTTATTTTGTCTGACTGTTTTATTTCGTTTAGCATAATACTCTCCAGGTCCATCCATGTTGTTGCCAATGGTAAGAGTTCCTTCTTTTTTACAGTCGTGTGGTCACTTTTTAAAGTCTAGCCTTTAAGGCACTATTGGACTGGAAGCCAGGAGAGCCCAACTCTAGCATGGCTGGGAGCCAGGCTGGGAATGTGAAACAAGCTGGACTATTTCAGGACACTCTTAAAATATGAAAAATGACCTTTTCCATTCCAAAAATAATTCCGAGAGTCAAGTCTTGGAAGAAAGCTTCGGTCTTAACAGTGAAATCTGGGAAAGGTACAGGAAGTACAAAACTTGAAAGATACCCTGCAAAGATTTCTTTTGGCTGACAACATTCCGTAGATTACAGCTGTTTCTATGGTTATTTTTGTGGGTTAAGAGGAACCACAAAATGGTATCTCAGTGGATGTGTCCACTTCCCAACAAGTCCAGGACATGGCACCAGATTTATCCATGTTGCATCTAACTATTCAAAGCTGACTACACCAGCATTTCTAGCCTGTGAAATAAAGAAGCAAGGATTGCAGGGAAGTGAGTGTGCTGGGGAGCCCAGGGTTTTTCTTCCACTGCTTTGCAGCTTGGAAAGTTGCCATCCATTCAGGTTTCACGCAAACAGGCTTTTTCCAGACCCTAGAACAAATCGTGGCCAGAAACTCTGCTCTTTGTCAGGAGGCAAATTGCAGCCCAGACTGAGCCAGGATCTTGCCTTCTCCCCTTAGAAAACAACTTTGGTTTTTTTGTTTGTTTGTTTTTTAAGAATCCAACTGGATTTTATTTGACACGGAACACAATAGGACTGCAGGAATAGCAAACTGAAAAGACAAAGCAGAAAAGACCCAGTTCTATCTAACTTACAATTAAGTAACAGGAGGGCAAGTCATTAAATGAATAACAAAACAGTTGAGCTTGATGGAGAATATTCTTTTTCTAGTGCCCATACTTTCGGAATTCCCACTCTGTTGTCCAGCGGACACACCTGCCGTGTTGTGAGCCAGCGAGAGATGGAGTGGAAGTGAAAAGCAAGATTACAGACTCCCCACGCAACGATGCACTCTTCAGAAGTGGCAGATGCCTGGTTCGCCTGACATTCTATGCAAAGATCATAATGTGGTTCCTGCAGATGATAGTTATCAACCACAGTGTCCCAGGCCCAGAGGGCTACTGCGTTCCACTTTGTCACTTCGAAGAGCTTCTTGCCCGAGCCGCTGTTGGTGCCACTCTGGGTATCCACATCCATCGCTGCCGCCATTTTGGAAACACACCAACAACTTTTTTTTTTAAATATATTTTATTGATTTTTTACAGAGAGGAAGGGAGAGGGATAGAGAGTTAGAAACATCGATGAGAGAGAAACATCGACCAGCTGCCTCTTGCACACTCCCTACTGGGGATGTGCCCGCAACCAACGTACATGCCCTTGACCGGAATCGAACCCGGGACCCTTGAGTCCGCAGGCCGACGCTATATCCACTGAGCCAAACCGGTTAGGGCAACAACTTTGTTTTTAATGTGTAGGAATCCTGGCTCTTCTTTCTTTACTCAGGGGATGGGACACAGCCCCTAGTTCTTTCCAGAAAGACCCCTGTTGTCCCCGGGTTTCTGTATTGTTTTTACCACTGTCCAGGTTATATTGTTGTAGTGTACCCCGCAAATCACACAAGGATGCCTCAAGATGTTGAATTAAGGAGCCACATTTATTTCAAAGCCAGCGACTGCGAGGGGCAAATGCTCTCCAGATCTCATAGCCCTTAATGGCAGTAACATCAGGCTTATATCACAAAGGTATCGATTACATCACTAGGTTTGGAATGAGGAACCAGGTTTGCAAAGGCAGTTTGTTACAGAAACTAAATTGAGCAAGTTAGTTATCTACAAAGATTAATTATAGTTTTAGGTCTTGGAGCCACTGAGTCAACAGAAAACACATTTTCTGGAGTCACTGAAGCAATTAAAGCAATTGTGCTGTCCTGGTTTCCAGGTGCAGAGGAATGTGTTTTGAAAGACCAGTAAAACCACAATCAATGGGGTATACAATCGAATGGGGTGATTTCTATAAGTTCAGGAGATCAAAACAAATTCTCTATTATTTTAGCAAGCAAATAATTACAGAAGCCAGAACAGCAGGGTTAAAAATTAAACAGCAGTTTTTACCCGAGATGAACGTTACTATGCTTCATTGCTTCAATATCTGGATCTATGGATATCTCATCTGTCTAATATCAGTGATTTAAATGTTTCAGTCTTTCCTCTTTAGCCACTGCAGTTTAATGAAGTAAAAGAAATAGGCTCCATCTCCATTGTTGGAGACCCAGGCAATGGACCATTTGCGGAGCTCCGCACAAGTTAGACATCTATGAACCCTCACGGGTTGCGCTGTTTACCCCCTTGCACAGAAAGTGAAAGCCAAGGTTCTTGGTGCCTATTTTGTGGTTAGATGTGCTTTTCTTTGTTAGGGATCAACTTTCTCTCCCTTTAAGGCAAAGAACCCCTTTGAGGAACCATTGGAATAATCCTGTTGACTACAAAGAGGGTAATGCAGCTGTTTCATATCTTAAATGTGGTGATGGTTACACAACTGTATGATCTCACTCATTTGTGGAATATAGAAAACAACATAGACTGACAAACAGGGACAGATCCAAAGACAGAGAAACCGCGATCAGATTATCAATCCCCAGAGGGAAAGTAGGGGTGGGTGGGGGTAAGGGGAAGAGATCAACCAAAGGACTTGTATGCATGCATATAAGCCAAGCCAATGGACACGGACAACAGCGGGATGAGAGCATGAGTGGAGCGGGGGAGGTTGGGGGTTAATGGGGGGATGAGGACACATTTGTAATACCTTAACCAATAAAGAAATTAAAAAAAAAACCTATCAATTAAATTATACCTGGATTAAGAACACCAACAACAATCAGTTTAGTAACATGAAAAAATATGTATGAAGGGGGGGAAATGCTGCATCTGTAAAGTTTATGTGTGTGTACATACATATACATATACATATACTAGAGGCCTGGTGCATGAAATTCGTGCATGGGTTGGGGGGGATCCCTCAGCCCGGCCTGCACCCTTTACAATCTGGGACCCCTTGGGGGATGTCCTACTGCCTCTCACAATCTGGGACTGCTGGCTCCTAACCACTCACCTGCCTGCCTGCCTGATTGCCCCTAACCACCTCTGCCTGCCTGCCTGATAGCCCCTAACTGCTCCCTTGCTGACCTGATTGCCCCTAACCACCTCTGCCTCACCCTGCACCCGGGACCCGGTTTTTCCCTCCCTCTGGCCAGCCACAGGCACCCAGGACCCGGGCCAGCTGCAGTCGCAGGGGACCGTGGGCGGGTGGCTTTGCCTGGGCCGTAGCCACAGGTGCCAGGGACTGTGGAGCGGGCGGCTTGTCCCTCTCCTGGAACGCAGGCACAGGCGCAGCCACTGGCGCCTGGGACCGCAGGGTGGGCAGCTTGTCTCTCTCCCTGGCCACAGCCTGGCTAGTCCCCATTTCTCTCTTGCGAGCTCATTTGTGCCTGGCAGGTCCCCATTCCTCTCTCTCAGTGTTGAGTGTCTGAGCTGTTCCAGCGTGATGACCATTTGCATGTTAGCTCTTTATTATATAGGATATGTTAATTCTTGTATGTGGTCTGATCTGGGTTTGCACCCGAACCTTGGGTGTATCAGGATGATAATCTAACTGAACTCTAGGGCTGCCTATGTTTTCTTCTTGGATTTTATGCTTTTGAGTCTAATATATGTCTTTAATCCACTTTAAGTTTATTCTTGTGTATGGTATAAGAAGGTGGTCTAGTTTCATTTTTTTGCAGGTATTTGTCCAATTTCTCCCAAACCACTTATTGAATACTAGAGGCCTGTTGCACAACATTTGTGCACTGGGGGGCAGGGGGGCCCTCAGCCCAGCCTGTGCCCTCTTGCAGTCTGGGACCGCTCGGAGGACATCCCCTGAGCGATCCTTAGTGCTGCTACAGGGGCGGGAGAGGCTCCCACCACTGCTACTGCGCTCACCAGCTGTGACCCCGGCTTCTGGCTGAGTGGCGCTCCCTCTGTGGGAGTGCACTGACCACCAGGGAGCAGCTGCTGCATTGAGCATCTGCCCCCTGGTGGTCAGTGTGCATCATAGTGATTGGTTGTTCTGCTGTTCGGTCAATTTGCATATTAGGGTTTTATTATACAGGATACTGTCCTTACCCCATTGTATGTTCTTGCCTCCTTTGTCATAGATTAATTGACAATAAAGGTGTGGGTTTATTTCTGGGCTAATATATGTCTGTTTTTATGCCAGTACCATGCTATTTTGATTATTATGGCCTTGTAGTATAGTTTGATATCAATTGGCATGATTCCTCCAACTTTGTTCTTCTTTCTCAAGATTGCTGAGGCCATTTGGGGTCTTTGTGGTTTTATATAAATTTTTTGGAATATGTTTTAGTTCTGTGAAATACACCATTAATATCTTTATAAGAATTGCGTTGAATCTATAGATTTCTTTGGGTACATTTTAATGATGTAAAGTCTTTCTATCCATGAACACAGTATATGCTTCCACTTATTTGTATCTTCTTCAATTTATTTTTTTAGCCTTAGCTGGTTTGGCTCAGTGGATAGAGCGTCGTCCTGTGGACCAAAGGGTCCCCGGTTTGATCCCGGTCAAGGGCACGTACCTTGCTTGCAAGCTCCTCAGGCAACCAGTAGATGTGTTTCTCTCCCATCAATGTTTCTCTGTCTTTCCCTCTCTCTTCCATTCTCCCTAAAATCAATGAAAAAATATCATCGGGTGAAGATTAAAAAAGAAAAAATTATTTCTTCAGTGTCTTAATAATTTTTCAAGTACAGGTCTTTTGCATTCTTGGTTAAATTTATTCCTAGGTATTTTATTTTATTTTTATTTTTTTAATCCTCACCCGAGGATATTTTCCCCATTGATTTATTTAATTTATTTATTTAATTAATTTCTTTTTCAGCAAGGCAAATATCTTTACTTCTGCAGAAGGGTGTGCATGCACATGGTCTGGGAGCACATGCACACTGATTTCTTTTTTATAGAGAATGGAAGGAAGGGGGGAGGGGGAGAGAGAGAGAGAGAGAGAGAGAGAGAGAGAGAGAGAGAGAGAGAGAGAGACATCGATTGGTTGCCTCCCACACACTCCCCGGGGGATGGAGCCTCCAATGAGGTATGTGTCCTTGACCAGGAATCAAACCCTTCAGTTGGTGGGCCAATGCTCTAACCACTGAGCATAGCCAAGCTATTTTATTTATTTATTTTTAATTTTATTTTTTTAAAAAATTCTCACCTGAGGAAATTTCTTCATTGATTTTTAGAGAGAGTGGAAGCGAGGGAAGACAGAAATATTGATGTGAGAGAACACATCAATTGATTGCCTCCTGCATACGTCCCAACTAGGACCCCAGAGGGAGGACCCTGCAACAGAGGTCCATACCCTTGACTGGAATTGAACCCAGGACCCTTTAGTCTGCAGGCCTACGCTCTATCCACTGAGCCAAACAGGCTAGGGCTATATTTTTTTATGCAATTTTAAGTGGGATTGTTTTCTTAGTCTCCCTTTCTGATAGTTCACTTTTGGTGTATAAAAATGCAACTGAGCCCTAGCTGGTTGGCTTGGCGGATGGAGCATCTGGCAGCTGACTGAAGGGTCCCAGGTTCCATTCCAGTCAAGGGCATGCACCTCGGTTGCAGGCTCCATCCCCAGCTTCAGTTGGGGATTGTGCAGGAGGCAACCAACATCAATATTTCTCTCTCTCTGTCTCTACCTCTCCCTTCCACTCTCTCTAAAAAAGTCAATGGAAAAATATCCTTGAAAAAATAATGCAGCTGATTTCTGGATATTTATTTTGTATCCTGCTACTTCACTGAATTCATTGATCAGTTCTAGTAGTTTTTGGTGGAATCTTTAGGGTTATCTATATACAGTATCATGTTATCTGAAGTAAATACTTTTTAAAACTTAGATGAGTGTGGAGCAGTACACTTAAAATTAGTTCACTCTGCGCTTTATGCTATAAATACATTGTTTTAAAAGAAGGTTGAAAGTTCTGGCTGGTGATCACAAGAGTGTATATCCAAATCAAAAAATATTCATCCGTAAAATTTGTGCAGTCTACCATACATTATAACGCAATAAAGACAAATACAGACATTGAAACTGCCCGCTCTGTCCAGGACTAGAAGTGAAAGCCCGCCCGCGCTGTGTTCACTGACATAGCGGACCTCCGCGTGGCCGGCGATCGGGCGCCTGCAGGGGGCGCCCGAGTCGGGGTGGGGCTAAGGCTGCACAAAGACCCGCCGCTCGGGGCACCAAGGTCTTCCGGCCCACGGGGGAAGGGGGTGGGCGGCCCCACGTCTCCCGCCCTGCAGCGGCTGGGGAAACCGCCGCCTCGGGCCGCGCTGCCACTCCACTCAGCGTAGGCCGTCCCTGACGTCACCGCCCCGCCTCCCGGCCTCGTGCCGCCGCTCTAGCCCCGCCCCCTTTCCCGGCTTGCCCCGCGGTGAGGTCCCTCGCCCTCGGCTTCTGCCAGTCGCCGCAAGATGGCGGACACAATAAGCTGATCCGCGCTGGTTGCCCCTGAGCCTACTGTGAGGAGGAACGGTTGGCGAGGCCGCACTGAAAGAAGAGCGTTGCACTAGCAGGAGGAGGAAGAGGAGGAGGCGCCCCGACTGTCGGCCGCTCTCCCGCTCGCCGCCGGCGCGGCGCTTGCCCCGCCTGGGTCGGCCCCTCGGCTGCCCGCCCGCTCAATCGCTCGCTCGCCTGCCCGCTCGCTGGGGGACCCGCCCCGCCTGGGTTCGGGCGGTCGGCTTTTTGCGGCCGCCGGAAAGAAGTTAGAACAAAGGCGTGCTGCGGAGCTTCCGCGTCGCCAAGGTGTTTCGTGAGAACTCGGACAAGATCAACTGCTTCGACTTCAGCCCTAACGGCGAGACGGTCATCTCCAGCAGCGACGACGACTCCATCGTGCTCTATGATTGCCAGGAGGGCAAGTGAGTGCGGCGGTTGGCCTGGGCCCGGCTCGCCCTCCCTCCCTCCATCCCTCCCGTGGGTCGCCCCGCGGCCCGTTCCCCGCGGCCCGTTCCCCGCTCCGACTCCGGCCTCCGGCCTGTTTTGCACTCGCTCCCGCCAGGGCCGTTACCACTCCGAAGCCGTCCAGGAGACCTTTTTTTTTTTTTTTTTTGGAAGAAAGTAACGGTAGTAATGCTAGTAGTAGTAGTATTTTGTAAGTCTTCGGTCTCCTCAGAGAGCGCTCCGCATCTCTTGCCCCACCCCACCTTGACCTTGACCTTTCAGCGCCGGGTCCGCCCACCCCTGCCCAGCGGGTAGCACCTCTATCAGAGGAGCCGGTCGGCTCTATCCCCAGCGCCGGGCCGCGGAGGCTGCTCCCCCGCCGGCCGCCGCGGCCGCTCTCCGTGCCCTCGCGGAGGTGACCTCGATCCGGCGCTGGCACCCCGCCCACCCCCTGGCCCTCGGCTTCCCGCGAAGGCCGCGTGGGTTGCAGTTCTTAGCGTCAGGATTTATTTTTTGTGCTTCCTTTCCTTTCTGTTCCGAGTCATGCTCACACTCCTTCGGACCCGGTGCCCACGCTTATAGGTGAACTTTTTACCCAACATCTGAAACTTTTCCTTTTTGCCGGGCACAAACGAACTTGGCCGTCTCATCCCGACCTGAATGTGGACCTCCCATTAGAACAAAGAAAGCATCGTATAACAATTTCGTGTTTTCTTTTACGCTTTTTTTAAAAAAAAAATTACACTTTATGGTCCACTTGGAATTATCAAAATTCCGAGTCTAGTCTGACCATGAAATGTATACGTTGCCCCTCTGGAGACCCACCACACCTGCTTGTAAGCCCAGCATTTTTTTTCCCCTTTTTTTCCTGGGGAACTTGTCAGCTTCACCTCACCCCTGTAGATTTGCTTTCTTTAAGTCCTTGCTAACTTGTGAGCTCCTTTGGAGCAGAACTGGATTTAGGCTAAATTTTATTTCCCTTCAGCCACATTCCTCAAGCAGGCTTGCAGATGTTTGCTTTTGTCAGACTTCATTGTGTTGTCTAGTTCCAGATCTTACTTTTTGAATCTTTGGGTTTTCCTCTGTCTTCTCCAGCTGTTCTTCTTCTTCTTTTTTTTTTTTTCCCCTTTAAAAATACACACTGATGTCTCCTATAAACTTTCTTGTGGAACTTGTCTCTTTGTGAGTTTAGTTATCTAAAGTAATTCTGTTTGGTCCGAGCCATAGTGTTCTACCCACTTTTTCCCCACTGGGGCTATGAAAAGGTATTATCTAATTGGCTCTGGATTTGCCTGCTGTAAGTGGGAGGGTGGCCTATAGTGGTGGTCCTGGGGGAAGAGAATTTCTTAGCTGGAGTGATGCTGAGTTTTTTTTTTTTAATATATTTTATTGATTTTTTACAGAGAGGAAGGGAGAGAGATAGAGAGTTAGAAACATCGATGAGAGAGAAACATCGACCAGCTGCCTCCTGCACATCTCCTACTGGGGATGTGCCCGCAACCCAGGTACATGCCCTTGACCGGAATCGAACCAGGGACCTTTCAGTCCGCAGGCCGATGCTCTATCCACTGAGCCAAACCGGTTTCGGCGATGCTGAGTTTTTTGAGTCAACTTAATTCATTTAGCATATGGATTTCTGTCCATATCTGGCCACTTAATCCGCTTGGAAGAGAGAGTAATGTATAAAGCTGGGATGAGGGTCAGTTGTGGGGTTCTGGAGCTAGAAGTAGTTTGAACCTGACTTTCTTGAAATGCTTGTGCACAGATTAGAACCTCTCCCTGGAACCTGAGGATGAAAGTGTATATCCTCATTCAAAGGAAATAAAGGTTGTGGTAGTATTTCTTCACAGTTTGTCTTATAATTTTCACATGTTGGGAGGGATGACAGTGACTTGAAGTCCGGTCTTGTTAAAAGCAAAATGTTACTTTTATGACATACTGTAGTTTATTCACTCATGTAGCATTTTTACATAATTGCAGTCTTTTTTTTTTTTTTTTTGCGACCGCGGCAGGACACATAATTGCAGTCTTATAGAAAAGTCATAGCAATGTTCCAAAGAACTCCCATATGATCCAATAATTGGCCCCATTTTGCCCCATTTGCTTTATTCTCTATGTACATATTTACACAAATGCATTTTTTTTTCTAGAGGTATCAAGCCCCTTTATTCCTAAACATGGGTTTCTTAGGCACTAGGACATTCTCTTATATAACCAGGTACAGTTATCCAAATTAGGAAATTTATTGTTGATACAATAGTGTAGGGCATGCTTTTAAAATTTTTCTCTTATCAAGTAATTGTGACCTTGTTTCATTGTGGCAGGAGAGTGGTCTGGTAGTTGGGAGACCTGGGTTCTAATTTGGCCTTGTGACCAGGTATGTGACATTGGTCATTTAACCTATCGGACAGAGTACATGGTCCTAAGTGGTAATGTGAAGAAAAGATTTGCCACTAGTGTGGCCAAACCAACATTGGAAGAAATATAACGTTTTCTTGTAAGGCACAGTATCTTTTTAAAATATACATATTTTTATTGATTTCAGAGAGGAAGGGAGAGAGAGAGAGAGAGAAAGAAGAGAAAGAAAGGAACATCAGTGATGACAGAGAATCATCTATCAGCTGCCTCCTGCATGCCTCCTACTGGGGGTTGAGCCCGAAACCTGGGCATGTGCCCTGACTGGGAATCAAACCGGGACCCCCTGGTTCGTAGGTTGTGCTCAGCCACTGAGCCATACCTGCCGGGCTAAAACAATATTCTTTATGCTCTATGTTTTCTAGTTTACTGGTTTTTTTTAAAATTTTATAATGGAGTTCATCCATTGAGTGATTTTTTTTTTTTAAACTTGAGAGAATATGACTGTGGTAGGTGATGTGAATTATTCAGAGAAGGCTTTAATATTATTTGCTCATTCTTTTTTTAAAAAAATATATTTTATTGGTTTTTTTTTTTTACAGAGAGGAAGGGAGAGGGATAGAGAGTTAGAAACATTGATGAGAGAGAAACATCGATCAGCTGCCTCCTGCACACTCCCCACTATGGATGTGCCCGCAACCAAGGTACATGCCCTTGACTGGAATCGAACCTGGGACCTTTGAGTCCGCAGGCTGACTAACGCTCTATCCACTGAGCCAAACCGGTCAGGGTTATTTACTCATTCTTGATCACCAGAATCATTGTTGGTGGAGAGAAGCTTACAAAAATATTTATGAAAAAATGTTGTTCCTGGGCTTTGTAAAAATTCTCTGAAAGAATGAAATACATTAGAATTTTTTTTATTCAATATATTTTTATTGATTTCAGAGAGGAAGGGAGAGGGAGAGAGAGAGAGATAGAAACATCATTGATGAGAGAGAATCATTGATTGGCTGCCCCCCTGATAGGGATTGAGCCTGCAACCCAGGTATGTGCCCTTGACTGGAATCGAACCCGGGACCCTTCAGTCCAAAGGCCAATGCTCTGTCCACTGAGCCAAACCAGCGAGGGCTAGAATCTTGCTTTCAAACTAGAATATCATATGTGGTAAAATATTTCTGTAATTAAGAACAAATCTCAGGTTAGTGTTATTGATAAATTTGAGGCAAATAGGCTACTAGGTGTACCAGTTAATGCGGATTTTTTTTAATAGACGGAATTACACATATGTTGATATATATGCGATTTGATATGTATGCTATTTTGTATTGACAACAAGCTTCAAAACTTCATGTGTCAAATTTGCTGAAGGTGTTAACATCATAGATATTTTTATGCCTACTAGTAAAAATGTCAAATTTCATGCCCCAAAAAAGAGCATTTGTGGGAAGTTTTAATTCATTATTTTGAAGAAAAAGTTATTGTATACTTTGGGAAGCTTATGGTGAACATGCTCCATCTCAAGATACTTGTGAATGCTGGTTTAAACGCTTTAAAAGTGATGGTTTTGATGTGAAAGACAAAGAACGTCCAGGTCAACTGAAAAAGTTTGAAGACCAACAATTACAAGCATTATTGGATGAAGATGCATGTCAAATGCAAAAACAACTTGCAGAAAGATTAAATGTTGCTCAGCAAACATTTTCCAATTGTTTACAAGCAATGGGGAAGATTTTAAAGGAAGGAAAATGGGTGCCACATCAACTGAATGAAAGACAAATGGAAAACCGAAAAGTCATCAGTAAAATGTTGCTTCAATGATACCAAAGAAAGACTTTTTTGCATCAAATTGTGACTGGCGATGAGAAGTGGATTTATTTTGAGAATTCCAAATGCACAAAATCATGGGTTGATCCAGGTCAACCATCAACATCACCTGCAAGGCCAAAATTGTTTCGGAAAGAAGACAATGCTCTGAGTTTGGTGGGATCCAGAAGGTGTGGTGTATTATGAGCTTCTAAAACAGGTGAAGCCATTAATACTGATCGCTACCGACAACAAATAATCAATTTGAATCACGCTTTGATCGTGACCAGAATGTGCCAGAAGACATGGCAAAGTAATTTTGCTTCCTGATAACGCACCATCACACACTTCAAAACCAGTTAAAGACATGTTAAAAGATCTTGCCTGGGATGTATGAACCCACCCGCAGTATTCACCAGTTCTTGCTCTTTCAGATTACCACTTGTTCCGATCGATGGCACACGCACTTTCTGAGCAGCGCTTCAAAATGTACGAAGACGTGGAAAATTGGGTCTCTGAATGGTTTGCCTCAAAACAAGAAAAGTTCTATTGGGATGGTATCCACAAATTACCTGAAAGATAAAAGGGAAATGTGTAGCTAGTGATGGACATTGCTTTGAATAAAGCACTTTTGATGTTTCTCTTGAAATTATCGTGTTTTCTTTGATTACAAAATCCGCCATTATTAACCGGTACACCTAGTATATATAAGTGGAACTGAAAATTTTCCTTACACCACAGACTTTAACATTGGCTCTTTAGGCTCTACTGTTGTAGATAGACTGAAATACTGGGATAAGTAAGCTCCTTTCACTGGTAGAGGCAAAGTTAACTACCTTTTGAGAGCAAGCACATGTGCATGCTCATACTCGTTTACTCTCTGATTGGTTACCACCATACAGTAAGTAATCCCAATGGACAACTCTGGACAGTGGACTTGACTAGGTAACCTCTGAGCTGAGAAGTCTTGTTTGGAAATTCGTTTTATGTAGGGAAATTCTTTAATCTTACTGACATTAAAAAATATTGAGACCTGGCTGTTGTTTTCAGTGGTTAATGTCAGCCCATGAACCCAAGGGTTGTGGGTTTGATTTCTGGTCAGGAGCACATACCTGGTTGCAGGTTCAATCCCCACTTCATTCAGGGCACGTGCAGGAGGCAACCAATTGATGTGAGATGGGTCTTTCTCACATCGATCTCCCTCCCTCCTTCCTTTCCTCCCTCCTACTCTCTCATGGGAAAAAATATCCTCAGGTGAGGACAAACAAAAAACAAATATTGGAAGTGCAAATGATTGATTTCTTATAGCTGCCTGGGTCATCTGATTATTTAGCATCTATGTGCCAAGATGAATTTGCATTGATGACAGGGTGAACTTTTTCATAAATTGGAACTCGTGGTAAATATTGGTACAGGATTTATGAAATTCTCCTAGAACATTATGAAGTTTTTGGTTAATGATTTTGTTGAGTTCGGTTTCAGCTTGATCCTCACGCTTCCATAGAGGAAGACATTTATGGAACTTCAGCGAATGGATTGGTATCCTCTGGCTTGGGAAATATGTGATTTTGCATTAAAGTAAAAAGAAAGCAACCGATGACTAGTTTTGCCTGGGAGAGTTAGGTTTGCCTTCCAAAAGGCTCAGTAAGTGCTTTGGACATGTAGGATAGGGAGAATGGATAGGTTCTACAACAGCAGGTTATTAGGAAGGGTAAAAAGTAAGTTCTGGCCTCACTTGTTTGATGTATTTCCATATCCCTCTTTGTTATCAGGGTGACTTGTGTTTTTTTGTGTGCCTTTGTTCCCAAATAGATGTACTTTTTCTCAAAGCTAACTTTTGAATATTGTAATAAAGACAGAATTGAGCCCTCACAGTTACTTCCACTTTCGAATCTTTGCATTTGGTGTCCAGAGGTGAAAGGCTGTTGCACTTGATTTCATTTATTTATTCTCTCTTGTAAGAAATTCTGTTTCTTTCCAGTGTTAGAGATTACCAAGAATCCTCATCCTTGCCACATCATTCAAGTGCTTTTTTTTTTTTTTTTTAATGAAGATCCCAGATTTTGATGATGGAGGATTTTGATTGTTTTCTTTCTCTGTCCATTTTCTTATCAGACCAAAGAGAACCCTGTACAGTAAGAAATATGGCGTGGACCTCATCAGATATACTCATGCAGCAAACACAGTCGTTTACAGCTCTAATAAAATAGACGGTAAGCAAGCCTTCTTTTTAGTAGGTCATGGTTTCCTTTGTTAAATAGTTCACGGAATCTTTGTGACTATTTCTGTTTAGGTTGTAGTTACTTTAAATATTTTCCTATGATGTTAGCAGTGCTAACATTGTTATGACTGAAAAGATGCTGGAGGCGAGCTGCAAGTGCTTTTGAAATTGAGTATGAAAGATCTCGGTTTAGAGTAGAAAGTGGAAATAGGAAGCAACAACTGGTGTTTATGGTTTGTACTTCTGGAAACTTAGAAGAATACTTTTAGAACAAATGAAAGGAAAGAATACTTGACACACAGCAAGTGGTAAACAATAGTACCTCTTCAAAATATAGAGATTTGAGAAAAGTTTTCACAAATGCTTGAGCTATGATAGTTTATGGGATCTTAGAAGAGTTTTTAGTGTATGCCCAATCTTTTATGGTCTGTGTCAATAAAGGACAGTGTGCTGACCTTATTTTGTCTTTGATTCTGGGGACAATTTTTTTATCTGAATTTTATCCTTTTCCCTTTTTAAACTTGTGAAATTAAACTTGTGAGTTTCTTTCTCTAATAAATGGTTCTGCTTTTACCTGCATTTCACCTGGATAAGTCGTTCTCAGTTGACAGATGATCTTATAATTGAGCAATACCACTTAATTCTTTTATTATTATTTTTTACAATATATTTTATGGATTTCAGAGAGAAAGGTAGAGGGAGAGAGAGATAGAAACATCAATGATGAGAGAGAATCATTGATTGGCTGCCTCCTGCACGCCCCACATGAGATAAAGTCCACAACCTGTGCATGTTCCTGAACGGGAACCTAGCTGTGACCTTCTGGTTTGTAAGTCAATGCTCAACCACTGAGCCACATCGACTGGGCAACACTTACTTTCATATTAGGACTCCTTTTTAAAAAAATTCTTATGAATTTGATCGTTTCACTTTTTTTGCGGTAAGATTTTTCTAATGTCATTCAACAGAGATTGCTTAGACTGTTATTTTGGCTCTGCCTGTCTCAGAGCTGAAGTGTCTTTTTTTTAAAAAATGTTTTTTTATGAGCTGTTTCTGCCTGTATTTGACTTTTAGTAAGTATATTATTTCTACTTTTCATACCTGTATTTCAGAAATGGTTTTTTAAGTAAGCATGCATTTGATGCTTTTGACAAGAATATATAAAACATTAGAATCCTAAGGAAACATATCTATGTGATTATCTGCATGACTGGTATATTTCTTCTGTTGGGGTCTTTTTCTGGGTGATTAAATGAGGATTGTCCAAATCTGGTTCAAGATGAGGCAAATGTGTGGCACTGCAGCTTTGCTGCCAGGCCTCTGCTGTGAGGATATTGCCTTTCCTGTGTCGAGTGCATCCTGAAGAGTTCCTTCAACGCTTCGTTTCCTTTTGCCTGATTCCAGGCTGAGGTAGTAGTTTGTACAGTTTGAGGGTCTATGATACCACCCGGTACAGGAGATAACTGTACAGGCCACTGCCTTGCCAGGAACAGCGCGCCAGCTACCGAGTGGGGCGGAGAGGATGGCGACGCCCTGCTCATCTCTGGGAAACCAGGTAATGGGGAGAAAGCCTTTTTCTGCTTAGGGAAGGTGAGTAGCTCCTAGTAATAGAACAAACAGGAAGACTTTGTAGTTGTTATAGGAGAACTTTAAAGATGTATTCAAGGAAAACCATGTAGAGTTCAGTTTTGTAACGTACAAAGAGGACCCTTTACCCTCTCCCAGGTTAAATGCCCTCTTACTAGAAAGTACTCCTGTGAACCACTGGGATGACTTGGTGCTGTTAGTGTCTTTGCTCCTATGTTCTGTTTTCCTCCAGAATGTTCTTTCTGTGCTTTTCTTTCTGCATTTTGGCATCATTTCCTATTACCCCTTTCTCAACAATTGTTCCTTATTCATAGTCTTTTTAGGGGCATAGTACCTTCTAGTTCTATTCTTTATGACACTTCATTTCCCTTCCCATCACCATCTTTTTTTTTTTAGATAGAATCATTTGGTTTTTAAGAATGTCTTACTTTACCCAAGCACAGATCTCTACGATTATTCCTTTCTTGTTATTGTCAAAATCTCACTGTTCTGACTTCTTGGTATAGTTCATGAGTTTTATTTTGAAAATGTCTTGAGATCTTTGAAACCCAAATTTTCTCACTGCTTTTTGCCACTTTATTAGTATTTTAAACTAATTTCTCTGATGCACAAGGGACTAGTGGATAGTTGGTTAATTAGAAAAGAAGTAATAGAACTTCTCTTTCCATTTTGTTTAGTTTTTATGTAAATTGTAAACACAGCATTCAGGTGAGGTTATTGCTCTATAGTCTGTCAACTTAAGAATTCTGCTTTTGAATTATGTCAGATCTGTAGTGCCCTCTTTTCAGTTGTGGAAAGGAATTATTTACTATTTATTCGTACCTTGCTTGGGTTATAGACAGCAATGACTTCTTTGATCTTGCCTTTTCAAGATGAAAATGCAAAGTAATTTTCTTTGAAAATAGTAGGATATCATCATGCCTTATTTGTCTTCTTACAGATACTATTCGTTACCTGTCCTTGCATGACAACAAATACATCAGATACTTTCCTGGACATAGCAAAAGGTAAGACCCCAGTGTTATAGAAGTAGATAGTTCTTTTATCCCTGAGCTCTCAGATAATAGAAGAATGAATGGAGAGATTTTATCAGTGAACTAAAGCTAGTTCCTCACTGCTGCTTGGCCTTCCTCTTGGTCTTCTTTTGTTACTCCCCACCCAGTCAACTCTTGATTAACTGAGGTTGTGGAAGCAGGGGTAGGACTTTATACATAAATTTAAATTGTTACCGGAAAGGGGACCTGGTCCTTGGTGGTTCTGCCTAGGCCCAGCCTGTAGTGCGTGGGTTCTTCATGCAGGAAAAATTTCACAACATGAAGTCCAGGTGAATTTTAGAGGATGTTTATTAAAGCTGGGACAATGAAACAAGGAAGGGCTGGGAAAATGAGCCTAGGCTGGTCTGCTTTGGCTCACTAAGAAGTCAGAGAAAAGGGGGCCTTGGGTACAGGCTCTGGGGGTTTGCCGGGGATGATCTGCCACTGCCCATTGCTGTCCTCGTTGCAAGCCTTGTGGGGGTCCCTTGGAGTTCAGGAGATACATGCCTAGGGGAAAGAAGTAGGAAGGAGAACGCAGGCTGGGAACTTTGTTTTGAGGGGTTTTAAAGGCTGGGTGTTTAGGGGAAGTCTCAGGAGAGAATCTCAATAGAATATTGATCAGCTTTATGCTGATGTACCAAAATGAGGTTTATTCTCTTCATCTGTCCTTGGTTGTGGTTAGCAAATGGCACTAATTGGATTTCTGCTGTCACCCTGCATAGAGTGATTTAAGCTATTTACCCTCTGGTTAGGAGGAGAAGTGTGAAACATTTACTCAAGTGTCCCTGGTTTAGGGAAGATAGGATATATTAGATCTGTGGTCGCCAACCGGTGGTCCTTGAGGTCTGAAAGGTTGGCGACCACTGGTTTAAGGAAACCTTTGGAGCAGTGGTCACCAACTGTTGGTCCGTAGACCACTGCTGGTCTGTGAGGTCTGAAAGGTTGGTGACCGCTGTACTAGATGGCTGTAACTGCTTGGCATCTTGATTTTCTAGATGGTTGCAAACTGCTGTTTAACAGTCTGATCTTAGTTTCCCTAGTCCACTTGTCCTGGTTTACTGGCCTGTCTCAAAATCACAGTTAAAATGTAATTAGGAAAAATGGTAGATTAAAGATATTCAGTGGAAACCTATGTAATAAAAATACAGTTAGCATTTAGGAACCCTAATGAAAGGGATATCTATATATATATATGAAGCCTCCCAGTAAGGTGGTCCCATTTCAGCAGGTTTTTGCTCTATACAAACATTCTATGTGGGGATCTTAATGAGGATGCAACAGAATAATTGTCCTTTGTTACTTTTAAAAGTCAAGAAGCTTGTTTCCTTATCCTGTTTGGTAGTGTAGGTTGCTTCTCTGTCTCCTTTGCCAATTTCCTCATTTTTTTCTCTAGTTTGTCAAGTTTTAGTTGAATGTTAAATACATTTTTCCCTTGGATGATATTTAAATCACAGGGAGTGGGTTATTTCCTCCTGCTTTTATTTGCAAATGTCCAGAAACCAAGTAAGGCTTGGAGTGGTAGAGTACCCTGACAGGCTGCACTCTGATTGGGCAGGGCATTTCTCTGTTGCTGAAAGTAAGAGGCGGCAGCTGTTGATTACGGTAGTGCCAGACAGTGAATGGCTTGTGACAAGTAGATGTTTTTGTTTGTGATCAAATTAATGTTCACTAATGTACTGTTGTCTATAATTGAGTTGATTGCAGTTGTTCAAAATTCTTTCCAGTTTTCCCAGTTGTCCAATCTCTTGACCACCTGATTCTTATTAGTAGAAGACTTTGTCCCTCTCTTTGACAAAATCAAGGCCATCCAAAATAAGTTCTTTTCAAATTCTATTTCACCTAAATTCTGCTCTTCCTTCGAACTCTTTCCTTGAAAAAAGAGTAGCCTTTCTTCCTTGACAAAACCAACCACTGTTTGCTTTCATCTCATTAACTGGATATTTCCTTGCTGTCTAAAAACTTACTTGGTCTCTTATCTTAAATCTATTTCTGGAGCCTATCACCCACTCCTTTTCACTGTCAAATATGAGTAATTTGCATACTCCTGTCTTCACCGTCTAGTCCCAGAGTCATGTATGGGGGTTTTTCTAAGCTGTTTTACTTCCCGTTCCCTGCTGCCTCCAGTTAAAATTCATTGCCCTGGGCTTTTTTGGAGGTGCTCAACTTTTCAGTAAAACATTTTTTCCCCAGTTTGCAGCTGACTTTTCCCACTATTCTCTCACTATTCTTGGCTTCTCTTTCTCCTTTTGGCTCTAAAATATATAAGGTTCTATCCTAGCCGTTCCCCCTTCTTGGTATTTAAAAAAAATATCTCCCCTGATTTCATTCATGTCTACTCAGATGTCTTCCCAAATCAGTATTTTTAGCCCATGTCTGTCATGATTTCCAGACTCAACTTCCACCTACAGGTTTTATACACATCTGTGCAGATGTTTTTTCCATGCCCCCCACCTGACAGGTCCAACACTCCATCCATCATTGTTCTATTTTCCTTGAGTCATCTCCTCTCTGTCTACCTCATGTTTCTTCATGTCTGTTCCTATCAATTCTCTGGACTCAAAGCCTCTGTTGTCTCTTGACTCCCTTTCCCCTCCCTTCACATTCAGTGAGATGTTAAATCCTATTGATTCTATCTAGCTTTAATCCCCTGTGTCGCTCTCCTCCCTACTCTCTCCTTTGCTTCTGTTCTGGCTTATGTCCTGTCAGGTGAATTATTGTCAAATCCTAATTAATCTCCCCATCCCTCACAATCCTGCTTTAGCACCCTGTATTATAGTTCTGACCACAACATCCCTCAGGAAGCCTTAAATGCTCTCCACATTTGCCTACTCCTTTCCCTTGGACTCAGGTTCTCCTTCCTCTGGCTCTGACTTTTTCCCCAGCATTATCACTCAATTGCAGTGAATTGAACACGTGCCGCATGCCTTCCTATCTTGCACCTTCTGGAAAGGTGTTTCCCATTGAAATCATGTTTACCACAGGTAATGCTTCTTCCAGGAAGCCTTCCCTGGCCTTCTCTTGGAGTTGTCTGGACTAGATAGTTAAGCTTCCATAGAGTTGAGGTATTATTCCTCTTTGTGTTCCCTGTACCTCTCAGCATAAAGTTTTTTTGCCAAGGTGGACTTCCTCTGAGCTATTGACCTGAATGCTGTGGCATAAAATTGCATGTCTATATGCATTTTGCTTACTCTGTTTTAATTATCACCTTAGCATTCCCAGGAAATTTTGGCTTATAGTATATTTTAAATTTTTGAGTTGGGGAGCTAGTGTAAATGTTACATTGGAAGATATTTTTTTTTTTAAGAAAAATTTTAAAAAACGTAAATGGTAAGGAAAGTAAATTTTTTTCATTTTCTGTTCATGGTGTACATTTTAATTGTTTCTAGTAGAACCAAAAACCTCCTGAACCCCTTTCAGTATCATTCAAAACTTGAATTTCCTCTATGTCTAGATTTTAAAAATCTATTTACAAATGAGCTGTGCAGTTCAGTCACCTTTTTTACTTCAAGCTTTTCTTTGTCAAAATGAAACAGTACAATATGCATATTTCCTTTATAATTTTTAAAAAGTTTTTTTATTGATTTTTAGAGAGAAGAAGGGAGAGAAAGAGAGAGAGAGAGAAACATTGTTGTTCCACTTATTTATGCATTTATTGGTTGGTTCATGTATGTGCTCTGACCAGAGATCAAACCTGCAACCTTGGTGTTTTGGGACAATGCTGTAACCAACTGAGCTACCCAGCCAGGGCTCCTCTATACCTATAGTCTTGATTTGTGATACCAGCTGCTAGATCTATGAAGTGTTTTGCAGTCAAGCTAGAATATGGAACTATTCATCCATACACCCAGAAGAGCCACCTGAATGTCTACTTTCACAAGGGCTTTCTTCATAGGCGATATGGTAGAGTCACAGTCACTGTACAGGTCAGAGCTCACACCTCAAGAACCCCATGGTCAGGGCCATGGTATGCCCTGGGAGGCAGGTAAAGTGGTGCCACGTGTGGTCCTTCTCTGCAGGCCAGGCCCAAATGCTGGGGAAATGGAGGAGGGTGTCTCTTCAGAGCACAGAATGGCAGAGCAAGAACACCAGCAGAGAGGACAGGAGAGCTCAGGATGAGTCCTTGGAAGAAATATTTTTCAGTGAGCGATTCTGTTTTTTAAAAAAAATTGATTTCAGAGAGGAAGGGAGAGGGAGATAGAGATGGAAACATCAATGATGAGAGGAAAATCATCAATTGATTTCCTCCTGCACGCCCCCTACTGGGGATTGGGCCTGCAACCCAGGCATCTGTGCCCTGACTGGGAATCAAACTGTGACCTCCTGGTTCATGGGTCAATGCTCAACTATTGAGCTACCCAGCTTGACAGTGGGTAATTCTTAATGGGATAATCATAAAAAGGGACCTATATCAAAAATATAGTTGCTGGTAGCACAGGCCTGTGGCTCTGTAAGTGTAATGCCCAAATTAGCAGTCTCACTATCACCTAGGTCAGTGGGCTGAGGTCTGAGAATTCAAGTTTCTAACAAGCTCCTAGGACCTAGGTCAGTGGTTGGCAAACTGCGGCTCGCGAGCCACACACGGCTGTTTGGCCCCTTGAGTGTGGCTCTTCCACAAAATACCGACTTCTGCGTATATAAAATAAATATCAAAAATATAAATCTTTGTTTTACTATGGTTGCAAATATCAAAAAATTTCTATATGTGACATGGCACCAGAGTTGAGTTAGGGTTTTTCAAAATGCTGACACGCCGAGCTCAAAAGGTTCGCCATCACTGTCCTAGGAGCTTGTTAGAAACTTGAATTCTCAGACCTCCGCCCAGACCTGTTGGATCAGTCCTGTGAGTGACCTCAGTGATCAGTGTGAGCCCACCCTCCAGCCATGCTGGTGCCACTCTGGTGTAGACTTTTAGTCTAGACCACAGACCACTCATTAAGTACCCCATATAGTTCAGTACCATAAATTCACCCTTTTAAAGTAAACAGTTCAGCGGTTTTCAGTACACTTACAAAGCTGGGCATCCATTCCACTATCTTAATTCCAGAACATTTTCATCACCCTAAAGAGAAACCTTGTACCCTTTCACATTCCCTGGCAACTACTAATCTACTTTCTGTCTCCATAGCTTTGCCTCTTCTAGACATTTTGTATAAATAGAATCAGACAGTATGTGGCCTTTTGTGTTTGTCACTTACCATGTTTCCAAGGTTCATACATACTGTATGTAACATGAATCAGTACTTTATTTAAAAAAAAATATTTTATTGATTTCTTACAGAGAGGAAGGGAGAGGGTTAGAGAGTTAGAAACATCGATGAGAGAAACATCGACCAGCTGCCTCCTACACACTCCCTACTGGGGATGTGCCTGCAACCAAGGTACATGCCCTTGACCGAAATCGAACCTGGGACCCTTGAGTCCGCAGGCCGACGCTCTATCCACTGAGCCAACCTGGTTAGGGCAGTACTTCATTTTTTAATGCTGAATAATATTCTGTTGTATGGATACATACCACATTTTGCTTATCCATTCATTAGTTGATGGACATTTGGGTTTCCAGTTTTGGGCTATTTTGAATAATGCTGCTGTGAGCATACATGTACTTTCTTTGTGTGGACATTTTAATTTTTCTTGTAATTTCTGGGTCATAGCAACTCTAGTTTTTTGAGGAACTATAAACCTTTCCCAAAGGAACTGTGCCATTTTACATTCCCACCAGCAATGTATGAAAATTCCAACTTCTCCACATCCTCACCATCATTTGTTATCTCTCTCTTTTTTCCCGTTATTTCTCTTTTAGATTATAGTTATGCTGGTGGTTGTGAAGTGGTATTTCATTGTGTTTTGATTTGCATTGGAATCATACATTTTTATGCTATAGCTTTAAGTTGCGTTTTTCATTATATTAGTTGGCTTTTTATTATCCAGATTGCTTGTGTAGTGTGTTCCTTAAAATGGCAGTGTGGGGAGAACAGGTTTACCAGGTGTACCGGTTAATAATGCGGATTTTTTTCAATAGATGGAGTTACACATTTGTTGATATATATACGATTTGATATGTATGCCATTTTGTTGTATTGACTTCAAGCTTCAAAACTTCATGTGTCAAATTTGCTGAAGGTGTTAACATCATAGATATTTTTACGCTTAAAAATGTCAAATTTCATGCCAAAAAAAGCATTTGTGGGAAGTTTTAAGTCATCACTTTATTTTGAAGAAAAAGTGATCGTATATTTCAGGAAGCTTATAAAGGTGAACATGCTCCATCTCAAGATACTTGTGAATGCTGGTTTAAACGCTTTAAAAGTGATGATTTCGATGTGAAAGACAAAGAACGTCCAGGTCAACTGAAAAAGTTTGAAGACGAACAGTTACAAACATTATTGGATGAAGATGCATGTCAAACTCAAAAACAACTTGCAGAAAGATTAAATGTTGCTCAGCAAACATTTTCCAATTGTTTACAAGCAATGGGGAAGATTTTAAAGGAAGGAAAATGGGTGCCACATCAACTGAATGAAAGACAAATGGAAAACCGAAAAGTCATCAGTAAGATGTTGCTTCAACGGCACGAAAGAAAGTCTTTTTTTGCATCGAATTGTGACTGGCGATGAAATAAAGTGAATTTATTTTGAGAATTCCCAAATGCACAAAATCATGGGTTGATCCAGGTCAACCATCAACATCACCTGCAAGGCCAAAATTGTTTCGGAAAGAAGACAATGCTCTGAGTTTGGTGGGATCCAGAAGGTGTGGTGTATTATGAGCTTCTAAAACAGGTGAAGCCATTAATACTGATCGCTACCGACAACAAATAATCAATTTGAATCATGTTTTGATCGTGACCAGAATGTGCCAGAAGACATGGCAGAGTAATTTTGCTTCATGATAACGCACCATCACACACTTCAAAACCAGTTAAAGACACTTTAAAAGATCTTGCCTGGGAAGTATTAACCCACCTGCAGTATTCACCAGACCTTGCTCCTTCAGATTACCACTTGTTCCGATCGATGACACACGCACTTTCTGAGCAGCGCTTCAAAATGTACGAAGACGTGGAAAATTGGGTCTCTGAATGGTTATCCTCAAAACAAGAAAAGTTCTATTGGGATGGTATCCACAAATAACCTGAAAGATAAAAGGGAAATGTGTAGCTAACGATGGACATTACTTTGAATAAAGCACTTTTTGATATTTCTCTTGAAATTATCGTGTTTTCTTTGATTATGGAATCCGTCATTATTAACCGGTACACCTAGTATATATGTAAGCCGGTAGAGTGGTTTAAGGTTCACATCCAGTTTTTGTAAATATTTTGCTTCAACTCTTATTTATCTCAATGCATTTCAGGGTGGTGGCCTTGTCCATGTCACCTGTGGATGACACTTTCATTTCTGGGTCTCTTGATAAGACCATTCGACTCTGGGATCTCCGGTCTCCTAACTGCCAGGTAATGGTACCTCACAGTTACACTTTGAGTGTTATGTATGGTAGGCACTGTCATCAACTCTCCCTCTCAAGGAAAGGGGAAAGCATTGGTTCTATTCTGGGATCCCAGAGTCTTTTTAAAAAACTTTGGAGAAAATCTGATTTCCTGGTAGGTAGCTGGTAATTAAGCATATGCCCTAATCCAGTGCATATTGCATTATGCTCTGTGGCTTATTGTTTTAAAAATGTTTTCCTGGAGCCTTTTAGCCTCAGATTTGTTACTTGGATTTAGTGGCTATAAAATACAGTTAAGGTTGATCTGAAATCAGTTGTATGGAGACCTGTTTTTTTTAAATAAAAGCTTCATTTCAGTTTTACTTTTTCACTTCTGTAGGTAGGCTGGTATCTATTTGTGTGTCTCTTAGTTTTCTTTGGGAAAAGTAAATTTTATAGTGATAAGACCCTAGGTTCATTAACTTTTTTTCTTATTTCTGTTTTCTTAGGGCCTCATGCATCTACAGGGCAAGCCAGTTTGTTCTTTTGATCCAGAAGGGTTAATTTTTGCTGCCGGTGTCAATTCTGAAATGGTCAAACTCTATGACCTTCGCTCTTTTGATAAGGTAAATCCTTAAGCTCTCTTGATATTGTGGAAGATTCGGTGGGTGAGATGGACATTTTAAGAACCTTTTTAAAAACATATATTTTTATTGATTTCAGAGAGGAAAAGAGAGGGAGAAATAGAAACATCAATGATGAGAGAAAATCATTGATCTGCCTTCGTCCCCTACTGGGGATCGAGCCTGCAACCCCGAGTTGGACCCAAGACCCTTTAGTTTGCAGGCTGATGCTCTATCCACTGAGCCAAACCAGCTAGGGCTTTAAGAACCTTTTCTATGATAGAGAGGTATATGGTAGATATTGGAGAGTGTCATAGCAGCAGTTCATCCTTTGCTTTCCCTAGTCAAAAAGGAATCCAAAGGGGATAGAATAAGAGCTCTGGCAGAAGGAATTATTGATGTGCATTGGGGCTGCTGCTTTTATCTTTTGCAGGGGCCATTTGCAACATTTAAGATGCAGTACGATCGGACTTGTGAGTGGACAGGACTTAAGTTCAGCAATGATGGCAAACTCATCCTCATCTCCACCAATGGCAGCTTCATTCGTCTCATTGATGCATTCAAGGGAGTGGTGATGCACACGTTTGGGGTGAGCTGACATAGCTGTTTCCATGTTCCTATCTCCTGGGCTGAGAGTTGTGTTCACTGGTTAGTGGAGACAAACAGCTATCCTTGACTCACTGATTGAGGCACAGGCTTACATTTTGTTCCTATATATGAACTTACTTCCCTTGGATTCTGAGACATTCCCTTATCACCCAGTGACCCAAGTTTAGTGTTTAGATGTCTTATAATTCCTGACCATAAACGTTTTCTTGCCCTCTTGAATCTGGAGCTAGAGTAGGGGGTGAATGGTAAAGGGTGGGGCCACGTTTGGAAACTTGGTGCTGTTGTGCATGAGAAGAGGGTTTCACAGAAAGGAAGGTGATGAGTCTGCTGGGTCAGTGTTTCTAGGCAGTTATTTTTTTGTTAATGGCACTTTGGCAAGAGAACTGTTCTGTTTTTTTTAGGGTTATGCCAACAGCAAAGCTGTCACACTGGAGGCCTCATTTACTCCGGATTCCCAGTTTATTATGATCGGTAAGTGCTCTTTATACCCTTTGGGAGTTATTTTTTTAATACTGAAGTTTTGTTTCTATTATTTTTGTTAATTTTAACTAATTAAGATAATATTTGTTATCCTTTTGTTAAGATGTTCTCAGATTTCTGTGTATCACTGTATGCCAAAGGTATAGTGTCTTTAAACTATTCTGACTTTGCAGTTCTTTACTGGGAACTGGCATTAATGTTTGTCTTTCCTGGACTAGCGTTAGAGTTAAACTCTACAAGCACCATCTTATTAGTAATACTAACTTTCTGATATAATCCTGCTTTCAATCATTTTTTAAGTATATTTTTTATTGTTGATAGTTTTATAGATATATCCCATTTTTTCCCCCTTGACCTCCCTCCTCCCTGTCCTAGCCACCCCCCAGGTCTTCACTGTCCTATTGCCTGTGTCCATGGGCTATACATACAAGTATATGAGTTCTTTGGTTTATCTCTTCTCATCCCCCCATTTCAGTCATCTTAATGGCTAGGTGTTGGTGGTGTAATGATATTCAGCCTCCATTTAAAAAAATGTTTTTATTGATTTTAGGGAGAGAGGAAGGGAGAGGGAGAAACATCAACATTGATCAGCTGCCTCCTGCATGCCTCTATTGGGGATCGAGCCGACAACCCAGGCATGTGCCCTGACAGTGACCTTGGTGCATGGGTTGATTGATGCTCAACCATTGTGCCATACCAGCTGGATTTAAATACCAGCCTCCATTTTTAATGAGAAAACTGAAGTCAGAGGGGAAGTTATTTGCTTAGGAACAAATAACTAGGATCAAGATTAATTCCCAGAGTGTTCTTTCTTCACCGCTTCTCCTCCCTTTCAATTTCTGCTGAGGACTGGGTCCTGAAACATGACTTCTTTCTACATGCCAATCTATGTCTCTTTCCCACTCCCCCCCCCTTTTTTTAAAAAATATATTTTTATTGATTTCAGAGAGGAAGGGAGAGGGAGAGAGAGATAGAAACATCAATGACGAGAGAGAATCATTGATTGGCTGCCTCCTGCACATCCCCAACTGGGGATTGAGCCCACAACCCAGGCATGTGTCCTTGACCGGAATTGAACCTGGGACCCCTCGGTCCGCAGTCCGATGCTCTACCCGCTGAGCCAAACCAGCTAGGGCTCCCACTTCCCTTTTTATTGTGCTTTGAGCTGTTGTGTGTTCCTTGATCATTCTATTCAGGTTCAGAGGATGGCAAGATCCATGTCTGGAATGGAGAGAGCGGTATAAAAGTAGCTGTGTTGGATGGCAAACATACAGGCCCCATTACCTGTTTGCAGTTCAACCCCAAGTTCATGACCTTTGCCAGCGCATGTTCCAACATGGTATGTGAACAATGGGAGATGTCCTTCAGTTGGGTTGTGGGTGTTTCAACGAGCACAGCAAGCTGTGTTCTAAATAGGTTCATTACAAGCACCCAAGTTTGTTTCTCAGCTGTTGTTTCCATTTTTCACCTCTTACTCTCTGATCTCTGGTTGGGCTGGCCTTTCATTTTTACTCTTCTTTCTATGATCTGGGATCACCTGTGAGCTCTCCGGAGATCTTTTTTTTTATTTTATTAAATCTTTATTGTTCAGATTATTACATTTGTTCCTCTTTTTTCCCCCCCATAACTCCCCTCCTTCCAGCTCCCACCCCACCCTCCGCCCTCACTCCCCACCCACTGTCCTCATCCATAGGTGCACGATTTTTGTCCAGTCTCTTCCCGCATCTCCCACACCCCTTTCCCCCCCAAGAATAGTCAGTCCATTCCCTTTCTATGTCCCTGATTCTATTATAATCACCAGTTCATTCTGTACATCAGGTTATTTATTCACTTGATTCTTAGATTCACTTGTTAATAGATGCATATTTGTTGTTCATAATTTGTATCTTTACCTTTTCCTTCTTCTTCCTCTTCTTAAAGGATACCTTTCAGCATTTCATATAATACTGGTTTGGTGGTGATGAACTCCTTTAGCTTTTCCTTATCTGTGAAGCTCTTTATCTGACCTTCAATTCTGAATGATAGCTTTGCTGGATAAAGTAATCTTGGTTGTAGGTTCTTGCTATTCATCACTTTGAATATTTCTTGCCACTCCCTTCTGGCCTGCAAAGTTTCTGTTGAGAAATCAGCTGACAGTCGTATGGGTATTCCCTTGTAGGTAACTGAGTTTCTTTCTCTTGCTGCTTTTAAGATTCTCTCTTTGTCTTTTGCTCTTGGCATTTTAATGATGATGTGTCTTGGTGTGGTCCTCTTTGGATTCCTTTTGTTTGGGGTTCTATGTGCTTCCTGTACTTGGAAGTCTATTTCTTTCACCAGGTGGGGGAAGTTTTCTGTCATTATTTCTTCAAATAGGTTTTCAATATCTTGCTCTCTCTCATCTTCTGGTACCCCTATAATTCTGATGTTGGTACGTTTGAAGCTGTCCCAGAGGCTCCTTACACTATCTTCATATTTTTGGGTTCTTTTTTCATTTTGCTTTTCCGGTTGGGTGTTTCTCGCTTCTTCGCATTTCAAATCTTTGACTTGATTCTTGCGCTCCTCTGGTCTGCTGTTGGGAGTCTGTATAATATTCTTTATTTCAGTCAGTGTATGCTTACTTTCTAGATGGTCCTTTATCACACCATCGAGGGTCTCATTAGATTTCCTGTACATCTCATCAAGTTTATCGACAGACTCTAGAAGCCTCTTGAGAGACCTCAAAAGTGTGGTTCTGAACTCAATATCCTCCCTTGATAGTTTTGTCCTGTTTCTTTGTCTCCGCATTTTTTACGCTTTCTTGATACACCCCCTAGTGGTCTTTGTGCGCAATCTTGTTGTAGTTAAGCCTTGATTGTTGTAGTTAATACTAGAGGGATTTGACCTCCAGGCCGACTGGCTGTGATAATCAGCTGTCTCTCCGGAGATCTTAAGCCAGTTTTAGCTCTGGCTCCTGGTTTTATGCCCAAACTACCTGGGCTATGCTTTGACAGCTTTTTGGCTTCTTAAAATACTTTGAACAAGCCTTTTGTGGTTGTAACCTATAAGTTTTCCATTTCTCAGTTTATCGCTGAATTCCTCAGAAATTCTTACAGTTGATCATAACTCACCACTTGGAAAATTTTCTCCAGGCTGTGTCTCTTCCTAGATAACACTGGCAGAACAAAGCATCATGAGTCTCAGCCACCAGTTTCCCCTTGGCATCTTCTAAACCTACCTGGATATTTGGAGGATGAGGCACTTACCCAGAACACATTACCTTCCTGCCCCCCACCCCCCCTCCTAAGAAAACCTAAAAAAAAAATGCATCAAAACCATCCAGTCCAATCCTCATTTTTACAGATCAGGAAGGTAGGGCCTTTCTGAGGGTCACTTGGTACATTAGTATGAGGCCAGGTTACCCAGATGCCTACCTCCTGGTCAGCACTCCTTTTTATCCTTACCCCTGGGCCACTGTGGTAAGGATAAAAAGGGTAGCAGTATTGGAGGGAAACAGAACCGTGTAAAGTGGAGTGTTTCTCCATAGATTGCCAGAGTCGGTTGTTTGGGAGGGAAGGCCACCAGCCATAAGGGTTGGACAGCTTGACGCTGTGGGAAAGGGTAGAAGAGCCCTTAGTAGTAAAGAGAGCGACTTGGCTTTTTAAAGTTGACTTATGTTCTTTTTCCAGGCCTTCTGGTTGCCCACCATTGATGACTGATCCTGATGCTGTTTGGCTATTTCTGTACAGTGAGTGTGGCCAGCAGGAAAAAACTCAGAGGGACTGATCTAATATTGGGACTGGATCATTTGACTGGGCTGGAGAGCATCCTTCCACATGGCCTTCCCATGGATGTGCTGTACATCTGCTCAAAAGAAAAAAAAAAGTACTTTGCCAAGCTTCTTCAAAAGGACTTTTGGTGGGGCAGATTCAATTGGGACTCAGATTTTCTAGCTGTCAACTGCACCAAGCTCCTCCAGAGGATGACCAGACTCATGATTAGGGTATAGTGGGGCCCTTAAGGCGCCTTCAATTTTGAATGTATTTGCTGCTGAGGAGCTGGTGAAGTTATTCTGCACATCCCCTCTCCTACCCCCATAAATGCATGGGAAGCCACAGTCCTGGTTTTGAGATGCTAGAGCAGCTCAGTGCCCCTTGCCCTCACCCTGCATGTCTTATTACTGGGTCTCCCTGTGTCATTGTGGTATAATCCACAACCATATGTTACTTAGGTGCCAAACATTTACAGAAATAAGTCTTCATATATCTTGGGGTCAGAAAGGGACAGATACAGAAAGACCTTGTTTGCTAGGAAGAGTCAAGTTATAGTCATTTGAGGATGGGTGACCTAGACATGCCTCAGGCTCTGGGTTTTAGGTGGGAAAAGACCCAAGAACCTGAAAGGGAGGAAGGAGTAGCAGGTGAGTTCCTAGGACTGGGAGGTATAGCAGTAGCCTAGTGTGGTCCCTTCTCATCAAGACAAACCAGTGGTCCTCCTGGGTGCCTACCCAGTGTGGTTGTGTACAAAAGCAAGGGAGTCTATTTTTGTACATGAGATACATCACACTTTCCTGTGGGGCCAGTATTGTGGAGTGAGTTTGAGTTGTTTACACTGATGCCTTCCCTGCCCACCACAAGTTGTGTACATAGTCTTCTGATGATACCATCCCTTCCCAGCTCTTAACCATGAGCTGGCTCCAGGCCTGTGTTATATGTTATATTAGCCTTTTTATATATGATCTTGGATTTCTGTTGTTTGTATTTTAGCACAGTGTGTACACCTTCATTTAAATATATCTGTGTATGTGCATACATATATATGTATACTAGAGGCCCAGTGCACGACATTTGTGCACTGGGGTGGGGGTCCCTCAGCCCGGCCTGCACCCTCTCGCAGTCCAGGACCCCTTGGGGGGTATCCGCCTGCCGGCTTAGGCCCGCTCCCTGCGCAGAGAGTGAGAGTAAGCCGGCAGGCGGATATCCCCCAAGGGGTCCTTAGTGCTGCTACGGAGGCGGGAGAGACTCCCGCCGCCGCCGCTATGCTCACCAGCCGTGAGGCCAGCTTTCTTGCTGAGCGGTGCTCCCCCTGTGGGAGCGCACTGACCCCCAGGGGGCAGCGCCTGCTTTGAGCATCTGCCCCCTGGTGGTCAGTGCGTGTCATAGCGACTGGTCGTTTCATCTTTCAGTCGATTTGCATATTAGGGTTTTATTATATAGGATAGGGTGTATGTATGCATATATATATAAAATACCTGTTTCTTGGAGTTTAGCCGAAGAACAGCCTGGGGGAAAGACTGCATCCTTGCTAATAGTGTTTGCCACAAGTGTTTGTGAGTCTTCCCTATTACATTTTCCCTTAGGAGACTTAACGGAGCAAAGCTCCAAGTGTTTGCTATTCCCATGGCAGCTAATTGAGGGTCTTGGGACGACTCCCTTGTGTTCATCAAGCCGCACTTTGGGGCCCTCTCTGCAGTATTAGCCCCCTTTTTTGCCTGGTGATACTCTGTCTGCACCTTTATATGTGTGACAGTCACTTTTGCATGCCTTCTGTGTCTGGCTTACAGTATTTGGGGACAGGATGCTGGAACCACGGCATTTTCAGTTTGAGGCTTTACCAATTACACGTCACTCCTGTTTACCTGTTATGTCTTCTTTCTTGTTTCTGTTCCTTGCCTTCTCTTGGGAGAGGGAGGGGTCCTGATCAGGGTTGAGATGAGCTGTGGCTAGCTTATGGCTTTTCTTCCCCTGCATGGCCTTCTTAGAGCAGGATGAATGGCATCTTATTTTACTAAATTCCCAAACATTTAATTAAGCAGGTAACATACTCCCTGCTCTTCCAGAAACAGACTCAACAAGGTAATGATTTGTCCACAAGGACTTGCCCAAGAGTACATGTCTGCTAGGGGGAAAGCAAGCTATTACTGCCTCTGTTCAGCAGCAGAAATAGGCTATGAATTGCAAGCAATTACTATTTTGTTTTAGCAGTTACTTTTTTTTTTTTTTAATCTTCACCCGAGGATATTTTTTCCATTGATATTTAGAGAGGGAAGGAGGGGTAAACATCAATGTGAGAGACACATGAAATGGTTGCTTCCTGCACATGCCCCTGACCGTGGCCAGGGATTGAACCTGGCGTAGGCTGACGCTCTAACCACTGAGAACACTGGCCAGGGTGCAATTTTTGACTTGTTCTCAAACTTAAAGGTCAAGGGGCATGCATCTTTCTCAGTGTAGACTAGGACCTGCAGCTTCTGTGATACTCACTTTATATAGCTTTGCAATTTAATAGTGAAGGAAATTTTAGAAACCAAATGAACTGAGCTGTTTACTGCCCACTCCTGACTTTCCCGGGATAGAAAATTCATAGTAGGGATAACTTCAGAGAGAGTGCTTGGAACAGGGTTAACAGAAAACCTGCATAATTAACATATCTGTAACTAGAGCAGCTACCAAGCATGATTTTCCTGTCAGCAGGAAAATGAATTGTATTGAGTTGTGTGTCCAAAGCTGAGGTACCATGTCCTTTGAAAATATGCACTCATGGCCTATATAAGGACCTGGCTCCCGAGTTAGGGAGGAAAGGAAAACGACATAGCTGGAAGTGACTGGAGATGATGTGGTGGTGGGAATAAGGCAGAATAAAGAGAATAAAGGCTGTTGGCCAAAGAGGCTGAAGGCTGGGGCTGCATGGATGCTCACAGTGGAGCCAGATGTGCTTGAGTTCTTAGTGAGGAAGGGCTGCTCACCACTTTCAAGTCGGGCCAGAGCCACCGATTTGTATGCGACAGTAACAACACTGCATTGCTCAGCCACCAGCTAGTTGGTTATTATTATTATTATTATTTTTTTTTTTTTAAGAAAAACTTCTGGTTGCAATAACAATTAGTGCTTATTAAAGAAAATTTGGGAATTTTAGAAAAAATCAGTTTTCCACCCAAATGCTATCACTGTTAACCTTTTGGTGTTAAGTGTTCTAGACATTTCTGTGTGTAGATTTTTGGTGTGTTTACATAGTTGTTATTCTACTGTATATACAATTTTATGTCCCTTTTGTACTTAACATAAACATTTTTCCATGTTATCTGTCTTAAACAGAATTTTATGGCTGTAGCCTCTTCCTTTGAGTTTCGGTAGCATTGTTTGGGTCCTAGAGTTGGAGGGTGAGATGGGTTGTCTCCTGGCTCACAGTGGGCTTCGCTAAAACACTGTGTGGATGGATTGTTGGGCTTCCTGGGACTGCCTTTGACTGCCCCTGGTGACTAAGCTATGGGCTGGTGGGAGGAATCCCTAAACTCAGTCCTCAGGTGAATAGCAGCGTGAGTCTCCTCTACCCCAGCCTCTAATAAGCAACCATATGGCCAGAAATGAGTGAATGGGAAAGGCCAACCTGAGCCAACCTTGATCTTCAAAGACTTACATCTGGCATCTACCTCAGGCTACCTTTCATCCCCACTGTTATCTCAGCTCTTAATCAGAATGGCAGCCTCTATCTGGAGTAAGATTTGTCCTGCTAGGCCTTAGCTTTTGGGGGGCAAGGATAGTGGGGCCTCTTTGAGGCTCCTATGCCAGTTCTGGCAGACGGCCTGGCAATTGCTTGGTAACCCACTGCCTGGCTTGTGAGTTGGTAACTACTAGAGCCTGTATTCTAACGGCTCTATCTATCCTTGGAGCTGCAAGCACCTGCCGTGTGCCTTATTCCTGGCCCTCTCTGGACCAGAGAAGACAGTCTTAGGCCCATTACTTTGCCCATGGTCATTGGAGGTTGGCCAAGGGCTGTGAAAGGCAGCAGAGGGAACATCCCAGCTTATGAGCAGTAGGCCGTGCATAGGCTCTCCTGACAGATTGCTCAAAGAGGAAGAGACCTCACAACCCAGTGGGAGGGCTGCTGCAGCATTTGGCTCTGAGACATGAATACATAGGTCAGTGTAGCTGTCCCTGCTGCAGTCACTCCTGTCAGCTTGCTTGTAGTTGACAGACCCACTGCACCCACGCCCTTGGCTTCAGCCTTTGGTGTGAGGAGCAGGAGGATGAGCTGGCTCAGCTGTTGATATGGGCGAGAGGCAGACACAGGATGCTGCCCACACTCTTGGGGGTGGGAAACTACTGAGGAAAGGGGAAGTAAAACTCCTGCAGGTTATCCGGGCCCACTCCTGCCCTTGCCAGCTGCCAACTAGAGTCCTGAAGAGGCTGCCCAGAGGGGCTGGGGCCGACCAGTTTGTCAGGACACATGGAGGTCCAGACTGTGGACAGATGTAGGTCCAGAAATGCTGGGCTATGGAATATGACTGAAAAACGAGAAATTTTGTAGTTTTTCCTATCTTCCCTAAAAAACGTTTAGGACCTTGGTCGGTAAACTGCAGCTTGCGAGCCACATGCGGCTCTTTGGCCCCTTGAGTGTGGCTCTTCCTAAGCCTTAGGAGTACCCTAATTAAGTTAATAACAATGTACCTACCTATATAGTTTAAGTTTAAAAAATTTGGCTCTCAAAAGAAATTTCAATCATTGTACTGTTGATATTTGGCTCTGTTGACTAATGAGTTTGCCGACCACTGGTTTAGGAAATGGAGTCTAAAATGAGTTAATGGGCCGGAAAGAGGGTCTGAGAGCCTCCTCAAGGAGTTAGTAAATACATGAATTTTACCATCAATTCCAGGGCCTATTGGCCCTTGTCCTTCCTAGCTGCTGTTTAGGCTGTGAGCTACCTGATAAGAACTCATCTCAATTGTAAACCAGAATAGTGGATCAGGGAAGAGTCGAGTAAGGTTGAGGTCATGCAGGTGATTGCCTTATAACTGAACAAATATTTTCCCAGTACTTGAGTCTTGGCAAGTGCTAGATTGTAAAATAGTCTTGTTGGAAGGGTAAAAAATTAAGCTGCCCATCAAAATGCAAGCCTTGGAATTTCCATTCAAAAACAAGTTAAAAGGGCAGCCCTTCTGGTACCTCAAGCCCAGAGCTCACAGATGATGGTGGAGACCTCCTTTCTGTTCCCCAGGCAACAGTCCTCTCACTGGGGCTCACCCCAAGGTGGAAATTAGGGAGGCCACAGAAGAAAAGTGCTATATGCAAGCTTGCAAAGTAGAACTAAGATTGATTTTTTGGAAGGTAAAAGCGAAGGTAAACTGCAATGCCAAGCTGTACAGGAATTCACGATTCACAAGGGCTTTTCTGCACACAAACTTTTAATCATAGGGAGGTGATGGGGAGCAACAAAAGAAAGGCATTATTGGGGCATCAGCCTGGGGTGGGGACTGGAAGGAGCAATTGGGATGCAAGGCCAGAGGCAGGAGCAGTCATTGGAGGGAATTCCCCACTCAGCCAACTGGGACTCCTTGCCCCTTTTTGTTCTCCAGCTGCCTGCCAAAGAGAGGACCGTGGGAGCTGGGTTCTCAACACTTCAGTTCTGATTGCCTGGTATAAATAAATGCTCCTCTTGAAATGGGTGGGGGTGGGGGCAAAAGCCCTGGGCTGTGTCTGGGGCAGGCAGGCAGGCGTGCTGTTGAGCACAGTGGAGGTATGCTCACATTGCACCCAGCCTGAGTGGTTTGGGATGTGGTGTCTGAATCCTCAGTGGCCACTGCTCCCTTGGCCCTGGCTGTACAAGGGGATCACGAACACAGAGACGTCATCGTAGGACACCTGCCCTTCCCCGGTGGGACTGCCATCCTTCCCCTGTGTGCTATGTATCAGCATTTGGGCCAGCTCCGAGAACCTGTGGGGATCATCCTGCAGATGTACTCCAGGGCCGAGCAAAGAGGCAAAGCCCACCCTCAGGGAGAACTCACTGCACTGGGCTAGACACTTGGAGACCAAGCCATGCAGTCCAACTGTGGGGCCAGGCAAGCTGCAAACCTGTGAGGGCCAGATTGGACCCACAGACATCCCCACCCCTTGGAATCTAGAGACCACACTAATCCTGACCCTGCTGTGAGCCAGGCTTGCCAGTGCTGTCTTCTCAGCTGTAACTACTTGGTGTTGCTGCTGCACCCAGGCCTAGGCAGGTCCCCAGCAGTTACAGTACCTGTGTGGGTCCTCTCGATTGCCAGGGAGGAAGCTCTGCACTAGCCGTGCCACCTGCTCATTGGACAGGACATCCCAGAGCCCATCAGTTGCCATGACAACCACATCCTCCTCCTGCAGCTCCAACTGGTCCAAATCCAGCACTGTCACCTGCAAGTTAAGTCTGAGGATCCCTCAACTTTCCCTTCCTGGCTCCCACCAGCCTCATTTTCTGGGTAGATGGAAGGAAGCTGGGTTGGGCTGTTGCCCTCTCACCTGTGGGACAGAGAGCAAGAAGGGCTTGAGTTGAATGTTTGTATCCAGGACTCTGAGCTGATGGTCTCCCAGGCCCCGGGAGACGGCCAGTGTTCCCAGTAACCGAGCCTGGGGACAAGGGAGATGTGAGGTGACAGCAAATAGCCCCAGCAAATGCACAAGTAAAGCACAGAGGTGGACTGTGGTCCTCAGGCACCCTGGGCTGAGGGAGAAACATCCTGTGGCCTTGGAGCAGACCCCAAGACACCAGCCACAGCCACAGCACAAAGGAGCTCCCGCCTCTGCAGTGGGCAATTGAAGAGGGATTTTTGGAGGGGGCTGTTCACTGACCTGCCTACCCTGTCCGTGGATCAGTGGGTACTTGAGATCCGACTTCTCCACGCACTTGTAGCTCCTACCAGGAGCAGACCCAGTATCAACCCAGGCCCTACTTCCCACCTCCTCTCCCCTCAACATAGGGCCCACCCTGCCCATGTGGATGGGATTGCCCCAGGCTACAGAGCTGGGCTTAGACCCCGTGGTTCTCCCCACTGTGTCTCCCCACCCCCATCCTGCTCACCAGCCGCTCATGTAGTGATCCCTGAACAAAACTTTCTGCCCCAAGTCATCCCCCTTCAGTCGCCGAGGGAACTCCAGTCGGGTGAACTCATCAGCCAGAAGCTCAGGGTAGACAAAGGCCTGGGGTAGGGAGGCCATGCTCCGATTAGGCTCTTGTTGGTGGCTCTGCACCCAGGAGTTGAGCTCCACAGCCTCCCTCTGCTAAGGGCACCTACCAGTTGCTGGATCCGTTGTCGCTCACTCTCCGGGGTGAACTCAGAGCTCAGAGGCCGCACTTCATCTCTCCGCACCAAGATGGCCCTGGATGGGATTGGGGAGGAGAGGGAGAGGGCTGTGATGAAGCCTCCAACCTCACCCATGGCCTCCTTTCTGCTGGCCAGGGGCCTGCTCTGCCCATGCCCCCCCTGTTCGAAGCCCTCCATAACCGCCTGCAGGGTAAAGCCTCAGCCCCTTCGCTCTGTGCGCTCTCTGGCATCTACTGTCCACTCAGACTCCATACAGACCAGGTGTACAAATAGCTCAGCTAGTCAAGCCTCCCCATTTCCCTCCCTCCACTTCCAGCCCCCTTTCATTGTCCCCACTGCCTGTGCTGCCTGCCTGCCTCCCACCTGCCCCACTCTCCGAGCTCACTCACCTGCTATCTCCAGCATTGGCCACATACAGCTTCCCCTTCAGCGACACAGCCACCAGGGCTGTGCAGCCACCCACTTGGCCTGCGGCCTCCAGCTCCCGCCCGATCACCTCATCCTGGGCAAACAAAGGCCACTTTAGCTTGTGCTGCCACCATATCACTCTGTCCCCAGTGCTCATCCTGCAGTTCACTTCCCCACCAACCAGCCTGGCAGTCCTAGTCCAAAGTCTAGCTATGTCTCCAGGACCCCGTGGTCAGATCTGTGTGTATTGCTGGAGGGAGGGAAGTCCTACTCAAAAGAGTGAGAAAGGGAAGCCAGCTCCTGCACCAAGGACCAACAGGGTGTGCAACGAGATGATGCAGGTAAGAGCACATAGCACATAGTAGGCACTGGATAAATGGGAGGGATTATGATGATAATGATGGCTGTTAGTGAGGCACAAACCAACCCAATCTTGTCTTCCCAACTCAAACATCGAGGGTGACTACCACACCCAACGTCTCTCAGGTCCCTGGGGACAAAACTGTCACTCCTTTCCCAGTCAAAAACCACACTTAACTTACACATTCCTGGAAGGCGCTCTCCAGAGCCCCGATCACCAAGTCTTCTGTCCTAATGCCCTTTTCCTCAACAAACTGGGGATCACTGGGGCAGACACAACGGCCACTGAGGTGCATGGGGGGCTGAGTGGCCACCATGCCCTCTCCTATGGCCTCCAGCTGCCGGCGCAGGCAGGAGTGCAGGGTGTTGGCAGCCAGGATGGCTGCAGCTGGACCGCCGTGCCCATCAAACAGTGCCCAGTAATGACCGGTCAGGAACTGTCCAGGAAAGGACTGGTGTCAGGTTCTTCCTGGCTTCCCCAGCTGATCCTTGGCCCAGCATGGGGCACTGGGGCAAGAACTTCAGCCTGAAGTCCTAGCCCCAGTCCTGGCCCCAGCCTGTAAGAGGGGCTCAACCCGGTGTGCTCACCTCCTCTGAGCACAAGGTCAGCCACTCCTGGTCCTCTTCGGGCCCAAACTCACATCTCCGGATGCACAGCTTCCCACAGGCGGCCTGATCCTCATTGAACTCAGATTTCTCTGCATTGATGATCCTGAGGCCAGGAAGTGACCAGTGACCCTCCCGGGACACACCCATGTCCCTGTGGGCACAGAGACCAGAGCAGGTGCACAGCGAGGAGCCCTCCCTCTGGGCAATAGCCCCCACGCTGTCCCTTATGTCTGGACAAAGATGGTGTAAGTTTCTTAACTCTTCAGTGACCTAAGGCAAAACGCAGGGCCCAGCTCCTCTGAAGCCTGCCTGGGAGGTAAGGGTGGGGCTGCTGGGGAAATCTGGGGTTCCCTTGCTATTCCCCAACCCATCCTCCCGCCCCCCACCCCACCCCATCTAAGCGAGAATCCCTGTCCCACACAGCATAAGCCAGAACCCAGGGCGAGAGGGGTGTGCGGGCGTGTGTGTGTACCGGGGGAGGTATCGCCAAAGCCCACAATGCGGGCACTCCACCCAGTCTCCCTGTCTCATGTTGGAAGCCCAGGGGTGCAGGTCCTTCCCAACTTGCAACCTTCTTCTCTGAGGGAGGCCGGCGTCCCAAAGAAAGGCAGAGGTGGAGGAGGGGAAGACTGTCGGAGCCCAGAGACGAGGCAGAAGGGAGTTCGCCGCAGGTTGGGGGAGGGCGTCACTCACTCCGTTTTATGTTTCCCTAGCTCAGGCACAGGCCCCCCCGGCTGGATCAGCAGGGGTCCGGGTGAGGGGTCCCCGGGGCAGGGTCGCTGGAAGGGGAGGGTCGGGCGGGGTCGCAGGGGGCGGGACACTCACTCTGCGTAGCCTGCGTTCCAGGGCAGCGTGCGGCCGCGCGGGGGGGAAGCGCACGGGCCGGGCGTCCGGGGCGGCGCGGGGGCGTCGGGGGGTGCCCGGGGCAAGGAACCCCGAACCCGCCGCAGGAAAGCGGGGGCCCCCGGTAGGGCACGGGGCCTGGCCGCGCCGACCCGGGGCAAGCCGCGGGCCGGGGAACCGGCCCGCCGGGTTCCCCCGGGTAGGAAGCCGGCGGCGGAAACCATCCCCGGGACATTT